AGCCTCACACCTCCCGGATCATGTCCCGCACGAACTTGGTGTGTTTGGTCAGACGCCTGCAGTGGCGGCTGTGCCTGGGCTTGCTCACTTTCTTGGTTACCTTGTGGTCCTTGTTGAGGCCCACAGCCATAGGATACCGAAGGGCCATAGCTGCTGCTCTCCAATGGCGACCGTGGCGGAAGCAAAAGCAGGTTAATTACTTATGGACAGGCAGCGAGGGACAGCAGAAGCAGAGGATTCATGACTCGCTGGTCCCCCACGGCTCAGGAGCACTGCCCAGGGCAGATCGAGTTGCCTGTGCCTGTCCCACATGCACCACAGCTGAGGACTCAGCAGTGAGTGCTGAGTTTTATACCCCGGGGGACATGCCCTGGGTGAGTGTTGCAGGACATCCCCTCCAGGATGGATGGGAATGAGGCCAGCCCTGTCCTGGTCAGCTTCTCTTTAGCTCAAGGTGTTGCATTCTCTGGGAGGGATAGAAACCAAGCCCTGGCACTTTGAGGCAGTTCCTTCTTTCCCAGGATGGAGGATTCTGATATAGTTTGGCTCTGTGTCCCCACACTACTCTTATCTCAAATTGTAATCCCTAGGAGTCAGAGAAGGGACTTGGTGGAAGGTGATTGGATCATGGGGGACAATCTCCCTATTGTTGTTCTCGCGATAGTGGACAAGTTCTCATGAGATCTCATGGTTTAAAAGTGGGTGGCAGTTCCCTTTTCCCTCTCTTTCTCTCCTGCCAACATGGAAGACGTGCCTTGCTTTCCCTTTGCCCTCTGCCATGATTATACATTTCCTGAGGCAAAACTTAGCCATGCAAAACTGTGAGTCAATTAAACCTCTTTTCTTTATAAATTATCCAGTTTCAGGTCATTCTTTATAGCCCCATGAAAACAAACTAATACACATTTCTAGTGCATTCTACAGTGATTCTGGGAGCTCTGGGCAAGAAGAAAGGTGGGAAATCCAGAGACATCCAATGCTTGTCTTCTGGTGCCCTCCTCCAGGAAGGCATTCCTGGTGCTCTGGGCACTGGACCCAGCCTTGTTCACCCTGAATCATCACTGTTTAGAGAGGCGTCAGTTTCCTCCCTGGACTATGATACCCAGAAGGGCAGGACCTGGAACTAGGTCACAATCGTATCCATAGCATCCACTGGCACAGAGTAAGTGCACAGGGTGTATTCAATGAATGAATGAAAAAAGTGAATGGATGATGAAAGCCCTGTGTTCAGGGTGTGTCTCACTCAACCTGCCTGTCCTGTTATGGTGACTTGGTGAGAATTATTGCTTGCATGTCTTCAAACCTCCTCTTCCAGACAGCCCCAGGGCTTCCCTGTGAAGCTGCTTCTCAGCTGTGCCCTCTGGAGTCAGATGCACTGGGGAAGGTCTAAGGCTGGACTCCACAGCTCACGTTTTCCCCCCTTAGCCCTCCTAACACAGGACACAGCCACATGCAGGGCTGCAGGAGCTCAGGCTGCCAGCATCATCAACAGCCTGCTGGGAGAGGGTAGGGACAGGTGAGACTCAGAACCTTCTAGATTCCTAAGTTTATAAATCTTTTGGCTGCAACTGCTAGGAAAAATAGCTGTGACATCATCATATGGGTTACACACAGTCACAAAGAAAAGGGAAAGCAAAAATCGGTAAGAGTGTGTCAGCCTCCGTAAGGGGGAACATCTCCATCTAACTTTGATCCCAATTGACTTTTTTCAGAGGAAGCATTCTTCCTTCTCAGAACAAGCACATTCACACAAGAATTCACATAGGAAGGAGATTAAATTCCTGTGGAGCAGAGGAGGAAAACCTTTCACTCAACCTGTCTGTCTTGTCATGGTGACTTGGTGAGAATTGTTGCCTGCAGGTCTGTGGTTCTGTGGTCTTAACTGTCCTGGGGCCATAATGTATTTGAGAATCTGATAATAATTATAAACTTTTTTGCTCAGATTATCACAGATAATTGCAAAATACTGTGAAATGCCACTGTCCTGCATATTTAAACACACACACACAGACACGAAAAGTTAAGGAAAATATATATATTTAACTTGTGGGGTGCATTGGAGAGCAAAAAAGAACTGTCCAGACCTGTGGTGCTGAATAGTCTGCTCTGGTTCAACTAAAATAAAGCCCTTGATCAATTTGGTCACTGAAAGGACTTGTTCACTTCTTGTTGAGGTATCAAAACCACAGCAGAGGCCTGATTTTCAAGTGTCTGCCTTAACAGAAAAGCCACAAAGAGCCGTGGTGAGAGCATATCAGATGATGTCCACGGTGCTCTCAGGAGGTAACAGGTGGCTGACCTCAGCCTTGATGTTCAGGAAGATTTCAGAGAGTGGTTGACATTTAAGTGAAAGATGAAGATGAATAGGGATGGGGCATTGGGGGCTGAGGCAGGGGTGGTGCTGTGGCTCTCCCAAGGAGCTGTGTTAAGCCAAGGGCAGTGAGAGTCGGGGTGGGGGGTGTGCAGGATGTGGGGGTTAACATTTGGCACGCAGCCTACTTCTTCAGGACTGTCTGGGCTGCAGAGGCTGGAAGCTTCAGGCTTTCCTTCCCAGCGGGCCTTGCAGCTGGGCTTCTAGATGCATTTGAATCTCTCAAACACAGCCATTGTGTCTCTGGGTGTATCCACAGTAACATCTCATGCCCAGGCAATAGCTCTGAATTGCTGAGAGGCTGTTCCAGCTACACAACTGGCATCCGGATGTTGAGTCTCAGCTCGGTAGACTGGTCTAGCTTCATTCCTGGTGGCAAATCCTGGGGCCTCTCTTCCAGATCCTCCTATGACATGGAGGCTCTCAATTCACTGGACTGTATCATGCGGAGGATCCTGCCAGAGCAGGGATCAGGTTTTGGTCAACAGAAGCTGCTTTGCAGGGAGCTTCTGAAATCCTGACATTATGTTTGGAGAAAATGACTCTCACAGATTCATCCTTGTCAGCCAGCAGAGGAGGGGCCTCTGGCCTGGGGAAACCCTGGACTTCCTTCTACATACCTGACATACCTGCACACCAAAAATTCCACCTCATTCCTGCCTGTTTCCTAGCAGGGCTTCCCTGAGGGCAGATGGAAAGACCGCCCCAAAGCTGCCAGGAGGGAAATTCCTTCTATTTTTACCTGGAGTAAAAGGGCAAGCAGTGGGGAAGCTGCTGACAGCAGGAAATGCCAGCGTCCTCCAGGATTTCACATTCCAGGAGCCAAGACCTGCCAGCCCTGCCCAGGAGCCCTGGAAATACCAGACCTGGGTGTCCTCCAGGAGCATCTGTGAACAGAGCCTTCCTGCCCTTCCGAGAGGGGCCAGGCCTGGGGAGTTTGGCAGCCCTTGGGTGGGAGTTCCGGAGACCTGGGTTCTGGCTCAGCCTGTGTCACTGACCAGCAGGAGGACCTCGGTCTGTCTTGCTTGGATGCAGGAAGTGGGGTGAGAGAATTATGGTGATGGTCATTTGAGATCAGGGTTTATATTTACTGTCCAGACACCTGGGATCTTCTCCAGACACTTGAGGACAGGCTTCTACTGGGACATCCTGGTCCTACTTCACACAGCTGGGCTCCCAGGCAGCCCAGGCAGAAGACAGACCCATGTCCAGACATGGATGCCCCAGAGTGGGCATGTTAGGAAGGGGGACTCTGAGGAACTGGTGGTGAGATTGGACAGAGTTGTGTTTATAGGCTTTTATGACACCTTAGGAAGGGGCAGGGACAGGATTTGAATCCAGGGCTGACTGACCCCAAAGCCTCATCATGTCTAGTTAGGGGCTCTTAGTGTCCAGGGAGCCCTGGACTGGCCCTCACTGCCCTCACACTGCCCCAGCCCCTGAGGCCACCATGCTCTGCTACAGTCTCCCTTCAGCTTCTAGATGCTGGGCTGACTCAGCTGCTCTGAGAAACTAGGCTCAGGCCACGAGGATGGGGTGGAACCTCCCTCCTCAGATGCCCACCCTGCCCCTGCCCCAGGAAAGGTGCTCCCCTCTCTCACCCCGGCTCATGCAGGCAGCCTCGCCTTTTCTTGGTAGAGACAGTAAGACCTAGCACAGGGCTTCACTGCAGACTCCCGGAAAATGCCTGGAACCAAGGACCTGAGAACTGGACCCCTTTATGGAAGACATCAAAGGGCAGATATGTCAGTGGCTCTTAAGAAGAAGGTGATCCCAGATGCTTCTGTGCTCCCAAGTGTCCTCATCATTTGGCTGTGACTCCCTCAAAAAACTAGATGCCTAGCTCTAGATATATGCTATTCTATCACATAGTAATATCATATGATAGAACAATATAATATTCTATCATTACTTGGAATGCACATAGTCCCAATAAAAGGGTCCTAAACAGGCTGGGTACAGTGGCTCACACCTGTAATCACAGCACTTAGGGAGGCTGAAGTGGCAGATCACTTGAGGTTGGAAGTTCAAGACCAGCTTGGCCAATACGGTAAAACCCCATCTCTACAAAGAATACAAAAAGTACCCAGGTGTGGTGGCGGGAATCTGTATTCCTAGCTACTCAGAGGCTGGGGCAGGAGAATCGCTTGAACCTGGGATGCAGAGGTTGCAGTGAGCCAAGATCATCCTACTGCACTCCAGCCTGTGCAACAGAAAGAGACTCCATCTCAAAAAAAAAGGGGGGGGTGTATCATAAACAGTTGAGCACAGTGTTCTGGTTAATGCACACTGTGCCACTTTCCAACCCTTTTTTTTTTTTTTTTTTTTTTTTGAGACAGAGTTTCGCTCTTGTTACCCAGGCTGGAGTGCAATGGTATGATCTCGGCTCACTGCAACCTCTGCCTCCTGGGTTCAGGCAATTCTCCTGCCTCAGCCTCCTGAGTAGCTGGGATTACAGGCACGAACCACCATGCCCAGCTAATTTTTTTGTATTTTTAGTAGAGACGGGGTTTCACCATGTTGACCAGTATGGTCTCGATCTCTTGACCTCGTGATCCACCCGCCTCGGCCTCCCAAAGTGCTGGGATTACAGGCGTGAGCCACCGCGCCCGGCTTCCAACCCATTTTTTTAAATTAAAAATAATATTGTTTATGCCCAACCAAATTTCCTAATCTGTGTCCTGGAAAACACTGCTCTACCCCATAGCAGCGAGGCATGGAGGACATTGGAGCAGACAGGGAGATGGTGCTGGAAGCAGGGTCTGCTCTGCCCAGGGAAAAGGTGGGAGTTGAGCACTCTGGTATTTATCGTGAGGTCTTTTCTGCTGCAACCTCTTCCCTTGTCTTCTGCCTCCAGAAAGAAGCCCCTGTGCATGCTCCCTGGGAACACAGATGCAGGATCTTCCACACATACAAATTTGACCACATCCATGCCTTGCTAGGACCTAGCCATGGTGCCTACAGGGTGACAGGTCACCTTGCCTGTCCTTGAGAAGAATGGCTTGTTCATGCCAGGCGTGGCCTGTGAGCTCATGAGCTGAGAAATTCCTGCAGAAGCTGGGAGGGGCCCACAGAACTGACCCAAAACACCTCCTTCCCCTCTGTCCTCACATCAAGGCCCCAGGATGGCTCTTCTCAGGGAAAATCACAACCCAACCCTCTGAAAAAGCACATTAAGGAAAAATACCTTTGGGAATATCAAGATGGGTGTGGAATTTCTCCACCAGAACTTTAACCACAATAACCCATTTATTTTCCTACCTTCTCTCTCTCTCTTTCTCTCTCTTCTCTCACTGTCATGAACTTCATGAAGACGCTGACTTTGAATATTCTACTCAGCACTGCATCGCCAATGTCTTGACATAAAGCCTGGGACATGTGGGCTTCCATGTGGACCTGTCCTGGATAAATGACCATTAATGAGACAGAGAAGGAGTTGGAGAGCCCCCAGAGGAGTGTGAGTCCCAGGGGTTCGGCCAAATCCACTCCCACCTTGCAAACCTGTGAAAGGTGCCTGAGTCGCACAGTCTCTCGCACATGAATGCCATGAGCTGCAGGTGAGTGAGAAGTTACTGGATTCTGGACCGTGGGTTTGGGTTGTGAGGTCGGGACCTAATGGGCCCCATGGAATATGTCATTGGTTAGCAACATCCCAAGGAAAGTGGGGAAAGTCATAGCTCAGTAGGATCTTGTGGAATCGCTGTGCGGATGTGTGTCACAGGATGTTAACATCAGGAGGATCCTATTTTCTCCTGTTTGCCAGAGGCATCAGTGTCAGGAATGAGAGAGGGCACGTAGCACAGAGAAGGTGGGGGGTGCACTGCTTCTCTCTTGAGAACAAAGCTGAGATCAAATCTACCATGACATACCCTGCCTGGCTCCTATCCTGCCCAAAGACCCAGCCTGTCTCTGCAGAACTTGCAGGAGGGCAGGACATGTCATGACGTTACCAGCTCCTCTAGGAATATGAGATAAAAGGAGCTGCTAAGATCTGTTGATCACCCACTCACTCTGCTGGAGCCACCCCAGAGCCATGGTTCCCCGAGGCTGCATCCTGGGTAAGGAGGACAGGACCCGATTCCCACCCAAGCCCATCTCCCATCTTGGCCACCTCCAGGGCTCGCTCCCCATTCTACCCTACACCTCACCCCTGTTCCCAGGCCCAGCAATTCCCCATCCACAATGCTCGGGCCAGCCCCATCCATGGCCCTGCTTGAGTCCTGGAACTGCCCAAAGCCATATGAAGCCCTGGTTCCACCCAATCTTCTAAATATCAGTGCCAGCCACATCTGTGGCTGCTCACTTACCCCACTTTCCCCTTCTTTTCCCCACAGCTGTCTTGGCTGTTCTCTGCATCTCCAGGCTCTTCTGCTCACATGGAGCCCCAGGTGAGCCCAGGAGAAATTGGGAAGCTGGGGTGGTGCAGCTCCCAGGGGACCACATGCTAGGACTCACCTGCCACCCCACCTGGACCTCACCAGCTCTGTCTCCTCCAGTGGTCCCCATGAGTCCTTACCTGATGCTGTGCCAGCCACACCTCAGATGTGGGGACAAGTTCTACGACCCCCTGCAGCACTGTTGCTATGACGGTGCCATCGTGCCCTTGACCAGGACCCGGGGGTGTGGAAACTGCACCTTCAGAGTCTGCTTTGAGA